GGAAATGTGTGGTTGAAAAAGAAGAAAAAATTATTGATGTGATGGAAAATATTATGTTATTGAAAAATGTGTGGTTGAAAATGAGAATTGATTTACTGTAGAATTTGAGAATAAAAAGCAAACAGGCCCTAAAATTGACGAAAAAAAAAGTAATTGAACTTTTATTTGGAAAATAGTACAAGCATTACAGGCTCTAATAGTATCTAAGCCGCATCAATGGCTATCTTCATTCCATTATGGCAATGCTCAGGAAAACTGCAAATGAAGTAATTTTGTCCCTTAACAAGCTTAATTTGATCTTTTCCACTTTGGTACACTTTGGCGCCGGAAGGAGCGGTGCAACTGTCGTATCCATTCTTGTCTACCACCACTACTTTGTGAAATTCTGGTTTATAGTGGAACTCTGCATAAATATTCAAATACTCATGTGTGTTAGTCAATCTTTCATTAACAAAATAAGTTATAAAATGAGCGATTTTTTTAAAAAAAATAATAAAATGAGTCGCATCTTGGGCTTGTACCAACAATGACTCGTGCCCACGAGCTCAAACGAGCCAGCTCGTGAAAAAAATGTAAGATCGGCTTTGTTCGTGGCTCATCTCAAAACGAGATCGAACCGCCTATAGATCGAGTTAGAACGAGCCAAGCCAGTGAACTTCTCGACCCATTTGCCACCCTTACGTGGACACAAGTTATGAAAATAGAATACCACTAGAAATTCATATTAAAATAAGTTCATACCAAGTACATCGTCTGCCTTGAAATTCTTGCCATTTTCCCAGCCAGCTACATTGAATGCCCAACCTGTAGCGTCCCCGACGGTATAGGATGCTGCATTGGCCGTGTTGCTCAGGACCAACATTCCCAACACCATTCCAATACGACAAACGGCAATGCTTTTCTTTTCCAACATTTTCGAAGGATTATTTTTGTTATTACTAAAATGAAAATGGTTTTTTCCTTTTTCTCTTTTAAATGTATGAAATTATAAGATGAGACATGGACTTATGATGTCTTTAAATAGTTTCTTATTGATTGCTGTTACATTGCAATAATATTTGACTTAAATTTTGATATCTTAAATCTGAACTTATATTCTTATTATCCTGAATAAGATTCAATAATTTGCATTATCTACTCTATCAAATTATGTTTAAGTATATTGAAAATCTTTGATTATGTGTTATTCGAGCATGGATTACTTCGATTGTTGTTATCCTAAAGGAGACTATACCGAATTCTTGATCCATGGATTACATGGATTGTTATTGTCTTGAATGAAATTAGATAATCTGTTGTAACTATTTGATGAAATTATATCTACATATATTAGAGATTTTTAATTATGTGTTACTCGAGCATGGATTGCATAAATTGTTATAATCTCGACTGAAATCAGATGATCTTTTGTAGCTTTTTAATCAAATTTTTGTCTACATACATTTTTTGACTTCTTATTATGTGTTATTCGAGCCTGGATTACTTAGACTAATGTTACCTTGAAGAAATATTTGATAATCTATACTATACTATACTATCTAATCAAATTATGTTTATATATGTGTTAGAGATCTTTAATTATGCAATATTTAAAAATGGATTATTGTAATTGGTTTAAATTATAAAGAGATATGAATTGATGATAAATGAGTGGATAATATTTGTGAATTTCTTGAAATGCATGGATAAAAATTATTTTTAGTGTTCATAAAAATTTATAAACATGAGCCTAAAACACGATTGAGTAATTTTCAATTAGGGTTGGGCAAAATGTCCGAACCGAACCAAATCGAATCGAGCGGATTTTTTAAAATGAAATACTCGGACGGGTATCCGAATCGAGAACCGAATGGTTTGGTTCGGTTCTCGGTTCTAGACCCAGAGCCGAATTTTTTTTTTTTTTATATTA